CATCATCATCATCATCAACACCATCATCTTCATCCTCCTTATAATAGTTATATATATATATATATATATATATATTATATTGAATAGTTATTGGTTTTATAATATTATAATAATTGTGTAAAATATAAAATATAATAACAATAAAAGTTCACGTTATTTATTTAATATTTATTGGTTGTATTATTATGGGATGTTGGTACCTGACTGCGTCCAGCGCAGCTCCACTGCTGGTTTCTATGGCGATGTCAGTGATAGGGATGATGTAAGTACTGTGGGAGGGGCCTGCCTCCTCTGGCTCCGCCTCCAACAGGTGAAAGTTCACCTGAGGGTCGGGACTTCCTGTAAACAGCACAGAGGCTATAAATGTCAGATCTGGTGAGTGTAGCGTCATTAATCAATAAAATTATCAATAAAACGATCAGTATTGATCTTCTATAGAGACAGAATGTGTTTCTAACCGTTTATGTCTGTCTGTCCGTCAGTCTGATCTCCTGCTGCTCTGGATGGACTCATTCTGGATCGAACAACAGCTGGATGTTCACCTCGCAGGAAGTTCTCAGTCAGCTGGAGATAACACTGTACACAGCAACAACAACAACAACAACAACAACAAGAACAACAGATAATGACAGGAAGTGTGTGTGAGTAGAGAGAAAAGAGGTGAATGTGAGAAATAAACATCAGACTGAATGAGAAGGAACTCTCCTCCATTAGTCGTTATTTCTCCAATAATCAATACACAGATTAACTGCAAACAAACTCTCACTGTTGGAATACTGGAAATGGTTCAAAGTGAAGAGCTGAAAGAAACAGTCAGTAAACTGTGCACTATCTTTGTCTCTGTTCACAGACTGAAGCAGGATCAAGGATAAAGTCACCTTTTTGTATTCGTCAGTCAACATGTTGCCCACAGAGACGACCAATGAGGAGAAAGAAGGTCTTGACTGAGGTTTCTCCTCCCAGCACTGTTTCATCAGATCAAAGCTGAATACAGAACACAAAGAGGAGTCGGACATGTGAGTGGGCTCTTCTCAGTGTGTATGACACATGTACACAACATGTATACGACACCCAAAGTGAAGAAAACATGTACACATCCATGAGTCATACATGTTGTGAGGAGCGTGGTCAGGTCGGCTCATCCTGTACCCTCTCTTCAGAGCAGAGTAAAACTCCTGCGTCATGGGGAGGTCCGGGTACGGGCTTCCACCTGGGACAAAATACATATAATACTGGTTATACTGGTTATACTGGTTAAACTGGTTCAGACTGATGAGTGTAGCTGTAAACTGGTTCAGACTGGTTACCCAGAGAGAAGATCTCCCACAGTAGGACTCCATAGGACCAGACGTCGCTCTGACTGCTGTAAACGTTCTGGAAAATACTCTCTGGAGACATCCACTTCACAGGCAGGAAGCTCTGCGAGTTTAACATCCAATACTTTTAATTCATTTATTTACAAACAACATATATTATATTATACATACATTAATGATATATTTACTCATATATAAATGACATCATTTTAAAGAAGTTCACTGACATTTCCTCTGGCGATGTAATTTTGATCCTTCGTCAGGTCTCTGGCCAAACCAAAGTCACAGATCTTCACCAGCTTCCCCTCACAGACCAGAACGTTCCTCGCTGCCAGGTCTCTGTGGACACACTGGAAGGCACGCAACGCCACGTGTAAACATGCAGCGCCACGCGTGAACACGCAACGTGAACATGGAACATGATGATAAGTCTAAATCTAATCTTTATGAAAGCGACAAAAATCATGAAGGTAACTGTTTTAACTACAGTCATTGATTAACAATGTATTGATCAGTGATGCATTGATTAGTGATGTATTGATCAGTGATCGTACATTTCTGGTGGAGAGAAAGTCCATGGCCTGGGAGACCTGAAAGGAGAAGCTGAGGAGGTCACTGACAGTCAGGAGAGGAGAGTCACTGAGGAGGAGAGACGCCTCCTGCTGGTCTGAATGAGAACGACAGGAAGAGTCACTGAGGCTGACAGACAGACAGACAGACAGACAGACAGTTTGACAGTTTGTATATAACAAAATTAAATCAATAAGAGAAAGACAGTGAAAATGATTACTTATTATCTCAATAATATAAATAATCTCCACTGATCAGCACTAATCAGGCTCCTGTCAGTGTGTGTGTGTGTGGGGGGG